GAAAAAAATTGCGTTTTCTACATGGGGTTGATCCAAATAGGTTAAAATGAGTTTTTCTTCTAACCATTATTAATAATAACAATTTGCGAAAAAAATAAAACAAAATTATTCCCAACGTGCGGATATTTTTATGACTTTTGATGATATTTTAAAGCAATTATCGAAATCTTTTTGAGTGGGTTAGGGAGGTATTAATAATTATCTTATAAGATCCTTATAAAATTTTTTTTGTTTTACAAATAGAACGCCAAATATTGTTTATACATCGTTTGAAACGCACGCGTAATTTAGGACCTTCCATCACGGCTACGACGCAACGCGCGCAAAATTACCGATAGCGCGAATCTGCTGGCTACATGCTAGGTTCAATTATTAATATTATTATATACCAAGTTCGAAATATTTTGACTGTGGGTGTGCCGTGCCAAAAGCATGCCAAAGTTGGGTACATGGTGGTTGCAAGAAAGGGTGCAAAACTAACATATGCAAGTGCCGGAGAACTGTTAATTCGAAAGGCAAACGCATGCTGTGCACCAGAAGTTGCCAATGTAAAAGCGTTTTCAAAAACAACGAAAGCCTAGAAACTCAGCTTGTGCAATCTTCCGATTCAAGTGACGAACCCGAAGAAGGCCTAATGTTTTTGCCTCGGTTTTTGCTCATTTCTATTTTTTAAGTTTTGTTTTCGATTAATTTTTTGATACAGAGTTTTTACAAAGAGTCAAACTAAGCGCCATCTTGTGCACCATTTTTGAAAAAGTGTAGGTAAGTAAAGTTTTTGTACCTCTTTTTCACTTAACCAGGCACTTTGTAAACAAATTATAATTCTTTTGCTCACTTAAAAGGTTGAATAAATCAAGAATACTACAAAACGCGGCATTTAGAGCTCTCTTTTAGCCGCCATCTTAAATTTTTTTGGCTTCATTTCTCATAAACTAGTACTATGTGGCAAAATGTATGTGCTACATAAAAATCATCATAATATTTTTGTTTTCAACAAAAAAAAAATGTTAAAGTGAGTTTTAGTCGCCATTTTGACCGCCATCTTGATTTGAGGCCTAAGTGCCTGAATACACTATGCGTTTTAAAACGCATCCTGCGAAACCGGAAGGTTTTGTGCGTTTACATTACTTGCGGCGACCGGAACGCAACCGGATAAGTGTAAACGCTCGCATTTAAATCCATTGGATGCAGTCATCCGTTCAAAACAGTCCGATCAAATGGGATCGGTTAAAACGCATAGTGTATTCAGGCACTTAGCAGCCAAAATTCGAGGTGGTGACAGCCAAAATCGGATTCAGCAGGGTCCAATTACCCTAAAAACACTTGTCACCAAAATGTCTCAAGATTTGCCGTTAGAACCTTTATAATGCGCTTTACCGAATTTCTCGCCCGAACTATCAGTGATTGACGTCTGATTATAAACTGGAAAATGGAAAAGAGAAAGCAACCTGAGAAGAGGTATTTCGATATGGTCCAATTTTAAAGGCGTATTAGGCTCAGTGAGACTCGTTACGGTTAGAAGATGGAGTTCTAAAGAAAGTTGTAGGAAAACGACAACTGTGGCAGACGTTCTAGTAAAAGAACTTTTTAGAAGATTCGGTATACCCTGACCAGGGACGAAATGTTGAGTCGCCACTATTCCAAAGCCTGTGTCAACTGTTGCGCATTCGCAAAAAGCACGTATTTGAAGCACCAGCGGAATACGCTTTGACCTACTACGTAGGCAAGAACGTCAAGATGTGCCGAGGTTCAAGCTCCGGTTTGGGCGATTAAGAAAAATCTACCTTCAACGTACCACCCCATTTGACGATTGGCCCATCCACTTTCCCTCTTTCGCCAACCCGTTATCGAGACATTCGCAGATATTGGTTGGACTCCACTGACGGATACATCTTCCTTCCCTTCGTTTTCCCTTTGTAAGTACCCATTATCAAAACTGAATTCTCTCGACATGTTCACATTTTAACCCCACCGAAAGATATATCGCATCACTGCGCTCCAGTTATTATTCGCATTTAAAGTTTTGGCCACACCGACGGATTCGTCGCGTTTCCTTGTCAGTACCGTGTTCCGACACTTTGTTCGCAAGATACATATAGAAATGTTAACCGTATGTAATGGCAGGTATTATTCAACCATCCTCCCTCCCGGACATATTTCAATCCAACAAAAAAGGGTAATAGTTACACTAAAAAACTTTGCTGTGGCTAGCACAAATACCACCCGCACCCCTGCACACGTTCTGTCCAAAAGCGTTTCATTGTTTCCTTTTATGTCTAAGAATATGTGTACCAAATTTGGTTCCAATCGGTTCAGCCGTTTAGCGGGAAATGAGAGTACAGACGGACCGACATCGAGATTTTATTTGATGCAAATTTCTGGTGCTTCAAAACGTGTATTGCTGTCAAAAAAAATGGGGAGGGGGGGTATTTTTTACCCCGCAGCAATACCTCCCTTACTAACGTGCGGGTGGTAAAAATATATCGCCGAAATCTATGTACGCGCATAACTTCAGAACGACTGCATCAAATTAGATACCTAATTCTTTTTTTGAAAAGAATGTATAATGACTAGCAATAAATACTAGATACACTAAAACGACAATATTGGTTACAATGAGCGAAAAATCAAAAAATTCACTCGGCCAATTTAGCTAAACACAACGGTACGTATATTCTTACCGCAATGAATTGAGAAAAGAAAAGGTACTTAGTTACACTCCGGAAATCCGATGCGCATCGTCCCTGAGAGTATTTAACTAAAATAGATGAATATATGTATATGACTTTCGAGCGGCAATTTCAAATAACACCTAGTGAAGCGAATCGTATCCAAGACACAGTTATATTTTTCAATAATTGAAATAAGAGCAAATGAAAATTAATTATAGATGAGGAATTAACTTTTCTGGAATGTCAAACAAACAGAACATAGATTTTTCCGGTACAGGAAAGGGTTGTTGTCGTCATAGAATAAGGTAGGGTCTGTCCATACAAACACAGTGCAGTTTTCCTAATTCGTAAGGTAAATATCGGAGTAGTATAGAACAACTTAAGACCTTCTGCAGAGGCACCTCTAAAAAGCATTATGCGGGTCACTCCGTAATTGGGCGCTAGCCTGTCGAGGCCTCAGGGCCCAGAACAAGAGAGGGATAATAAATAAATAAATAAGTAAATAAATAAATAACACAACTGATAACAGCAATGAATTTGATTTGGAACTCCATTTCTGACAGATTTTCTAACTTGGCATAGATCACGGAAATGAATGACTACTAAAACAAAATAAGAGCAATGTCCCTGTACACTTTAGCTTTAACAGAAGTGCATTTACATTACATAATAATTACATTACAAGGATTTATTAATCAATCTAAGTACTACCAATTCGCCATGAACTCATGACAACTACTTTACATACATAGGTACATTACAAAGCAACCTACCTCAATCAGAAGTGCAAAACAAATTGACATTAACACGAAATTTGTCAAGGTTGCACTCGGTCACCTCCTTACAATTTAAGTAATCACCTATAGTATATAAATAGGAGGCTGCATCATCGAGTATACCGAATTTAGTTTGTTGGGATTCGTCTTTGCAATGAACTAGATCAGTACAATTAATAATGCAACATTGTGTACAATGATCAGGGTATTAAAACACGTTGATGAAGGTTAATCGTAGGACGATCATTATCTTGGATATTGGATAATTTAAAAATAGATATTGTAATTGTTTTCAGGCGGTGGAAAATTTTTCTTTAAAATTGTTATTATTTTGTTTAAATTTCCGACAGGGCCGAGCAGATCTAGCACTGGGTATCATTTCAGTATCCGTAAACGAAAAAAACCGTTGGCAACAAGGAAGTCAACAAACAAATAAAGAGAAAAGGAAAATACAAGGACAGCAGAACAACGCTACTATACGAATCCTGCAGGATATTGAGGAAACGGGAAACCCACGGACCATTTAAACTCCATGTCGATGTCCAAGCATAGAAACCGAGAGGACAATACCATGTGACGTGCAGCAGGTGAAGATCTTCATCACCTACAACTAATCACTATGGAACAAGAGGTTACTTGCGTTTAGAAGCAGCATCGTACGTAAATAATTTAGCAAGAATCAGCATAACCAAATTAGTGCAACCAAAAATAAACAAATTCAGTCCAAATTTACAGAAAAACCTAAAAATAACGAAGAGTGAAGGAGAAGAAATATTGTCACATAAACATTGTACCAGAAAACGTCGTCAAGGTCAAGTACCTACTAATCAAATTGGAATTGCGAGGAGTTAATTAATCTGTAATCATTTTGTAACCACTGGTTGCACGATCACGAAACTCATTTTGAATATTATACTGTGGATTCTTGGGCACATTTGTTTAAAAACAGCCGACCTCATTGTGAATCAAAGAGTCCTTGACTACAGTCTGGATTAAAACCAAATGTTTATATGAACGCTTCACCATGCGATATGTTGATTGTTCATTGCTACTACTGCAAGATTTTGAATCAGGAACTCGTCTATCGCACTAGGCTAGAACTTTACTTGAATGGCGCGTAATTAATGTCACTACACGCGCTCGAACACCAAGAATTTAGTCGACCGTATGTCAGTAATTTAGTAGTCGATCCATTTTGTTCTATTTTCCACCACCACGTCACTGCAGTGGCGTACCGTCGGGGGGTGTTTTAGGTGTTCAAACACCCCCCAGACGCCCGGACAACAAAAGGTAAATTTCATAGCGAAGTGCGCCAGGCGGTTAAGTTAAGGCTCTTTAACGAGAATAATCTGGATGCACAAGTATTTCCAAATGTATATACACTACTTAAAATATTTGTCACAATCCCAGTCACTACGGCTACTACAGAAAGATCATTTTCGACTCTTCGTCGTTTGAAGACATATCTGCGCAGCACAACTGGCGAGGATAGACTTAATGGACTGGCATTGTTAAATATTCATAGAGAAGTTTCACTAACAGTTGAGGAGGTTATTGATCATCTAGCATTGTCGAAAAGAAGGTTAGATTTTACTCTTTGATTTATGTTTGACTGTTTTTGTAATTTTTGTGGAATAAATTTTTTTTTTCTTAAATCTCATTAGTTTATTATGACTTTATGAGTCCATGTTTCGTCTGTTTTGATGAAGTAGGTACTTTACACAAAAAAGGTGTGCAAAGTGATGTTTCTCAATAATGATCACACAAAATCACCCCCCACGCAAATTTTCACGGTACGCCACTGCGTCACTGTCCACTGGTTTAGCGGCTAAACAAATCCGAACCTGTCGATTTAAGGATAGTAATAATGTCCACCATGTGGAATGTTGATCTCCACAGTACCTACAAAGACAAACAACCTGGATTTGGTGAAAAGGAAATAAAATTCAAATTAAAATCATTAGCTTGCTGCACTTTTATTAATCCGATACCATGAGATTGACATTTTCTCCAAAATGGTGTTACTAGCTCCCCAATCGCTTTCCGAAAGCATCGTCAATAACAGATCAATGTCAGAAAGTATTTCCAGTGGTAGAAGTTAATATTCGGACAACCATCCACCAATCACAGACTACGTCTGCATTTTTACGCATAACGGAGTTCAATAGACGAGAACAACGCATCAGCATCACTTCGTGAATAGTCTCGTTCGCGGCAAAGATTCTCATCTACGGAGACAGCGTCTACAGAAAGGAACAAAAGATACTGTAAATGAAACTATTTGGTGACCGGTCGTCGAGAAGTTCGAGTGCATTCACTAAATTTGCATTACTTGCTTGTATGCAGGATGTTCCTAAATATGATGTAAATACGAAAGGGCTCATTCTTTGGCTGCTTTCATAACTAGTTCATATAAACATAGATCCGCAAACGTTCGTCTACAGGGTGTTAAAATTTCAAGATTTTTCATTATCTCCTGCAATTTTTGAGATATTTAGTTCATACATCATTGGCCATGTCAATGCCAGTGAGAATCGATAGGATATTGTTTTTTCAGGGGTCATGTTCCACTTTCTACCCCTGAGCTGTTTTTCGGTGGGCCACTGGTAGATTGTAATATAAGAATTTGATTTTCTAATGGTTGGAAACTTTTTGGTATTTTGTATTTTGTTCGTATTTGCTACCGATATCGCGAATAACAAATAAAAAATCAATTTTCGGTGGTAAGTTAAATACGAGGTTAAATCAAAGTAACATTATTAAAATGGTCCAGTAGGGCCTGGCTTTATTTGGATAATCTCGAGGATAATCTCTTGTTTTTATTAGTTTGAAATTGTAACTTGTGTTTGCATATGTTTATAAATTAGAGGTTTCAATTCTGAACTGTACGTTGACACTATAGTACTATAGCACCCTTGCAGATCGGTAACAAAGCGTTTTCAGGCCTATGTTTATATGAACTGTTAGTCATAAAACTCGTCATAAAATAAGTCAACCAATTAGCCCCTTCCTTATTGACAACATATTTAGGAATAGCGTATAATGTTGTGTAAACAACGTAATGTAGACGCTATTTCGGTATAAACACCAAAAATAATGACGGAACATCCTGTGTAAGAGAATATTGCAATTTATTAAGTAAATATGGGGGATTATTAATGAAATAAACACAAAGTTGGTTCCTTCCATTTGAATTTCTAACTCAGTGTTGTTTTAACTTTTAGAATTTTTGTAAATTCCTAATTCTTGTTTAAATTTTTATCGCTTTTGTAACTTAATCATTTTAGATAAGGTGTTAGAAGTAAGACACATCTGGTCTTTGGCGATAAGGAGTCTTATCAAGCGAAAATCAATTAACGGCTGTATTTGATCGCTGTTAAAAGATGAAGAGATAAGGTGTTTTCTATTTACGTGTTTCATTTGTCTCATCCTCATTTACTAACGTGTATTCTCTCTCAGCGAGGTATTTAAGAGAGTAAGAACAGTTGCTTCAGGCGAAGATTTTCACCAAAAGCGGAGCCTGGCCATCCAATACAACAAAGAAATGAATTCCAGTGGAAATAGCAAAGTAGCTACTGATGCATTTTGACGCGTGGGGTTCCATTTAGCAATGCAACTACCTAATTTGTTTATATATTTATTTCTTTTTTCTTTAGTACTATGGACCATCATTAAAAAGAGACATTATGAATTTCAAATTTCATTTTGGAATGATTAAACATATTCCGAAATTTGATTTGATACAAAACGAATTTTCAACCTAAATAGTATTACAGTAGAACCCCGATTATCCGTGCTCAATGGAACCGGATGGCGCACGGATAATTGAAAAGCACGGATAATCCAAACAATTTATTGTTTCTTAGGGTAGGCATACGTATGTATACTAAAAATATAAGAAAAAAATCAAACTAAGGTATGTACAATAAATTCCACAAAAAAGTTCATAACACAATGAAAAACAAACAGAATTCTAGATAAGGTCTAACACAAGTACAGTTGCAACTTACATGTAGCACGCAGTCAAATGCGCTAATGCTAAATGGCTAAATTCCGCTTAACCTGCATCGGCTGATGAAAGATAATTCTCTGAGCATGCGCGCACTCGGTATTACAGCCTGCGTCTCCCTCATGGACTAGCGAAAATTCTCGTCAAGTGATTTACGGCAATGGTATTTCAATTAAAACTAAAAAAATGTAATTTCAAAAACGCGCAAGCATGGCACGGATAATCCGCATCCCGGATAATTCGCGCACGGATAATCGGGGTTCTACTAGTTCCAATTTCTAAATAAATATGCAAATCAGTAATAAAACATGGGGTTTTCGATTTAAAAAATGGTATAGTTTGATACGCCACTGGAATACAGCACGCCCCTGGTGAACAAAAATGTTTTAGAAACATGCCGGCGGTAGGTAATTGTGTACAATTTTTCTCTAAGATTTTTTTCGGTATCTTTTATGCTAAAAGAGTTATGATCCGAGTGATCTAAGGTGCTACACCCTGTATAACTATTATGCACTCTCTCAGATATGTACCTACATGTAAATCAATGGAAACAGAAGAAAATTAATTTTTCGGGCAGCAAAATCAAAGTGTCTTGGGAAACCCCGTTAAAAACTGACTTTGAGCTGCACTCATTTTGAAAAGGGAGTCATCAGCACCTTTTTGTTTATTTATTTCCCAATTCCTATCAATTACAAATAACAAAACAATTCGTGGAGATTTTGGTGTGTTGCGCAATTACAATCTTTTGACACTAGCTCGTTTATAAAAAAAACATGCACTGCTGATAACACTGGAAGATAAATGTAATTGGTAATTATTTTAATGTAAGCTTTCAGTGTCTACTATCTTTATTGTGTGTTTTAATAACTATCAGTAAAGGCAGTGGGAGTTGCCGCTTTTCCATAAAGATAAAAAATAATGGAGGTCTTATTATGGACGTAAACACTATGGCGGTACCAGTAGGGCGAGGTGCCACGCTATGTTATCAGAGAAAAAACATTTTTTAAGTGAACACAGTACCACCAGGTGGCGTAACGATTTGATTCGATTTGATGCTCGAAATGTATTTTGTTGAGAATCTTAAATTGGTATATTGCTAAGAGAAAGTCATGACATCACCCTAGCAAATATTGCAGATTAATAGCTCTTATCGTTTCAGAGATAATTTTTTTGTAAATATGTTATCAAGCAATAACTTCGTGCGGTTATTGTCAACGCGAAATGAGAACCAAATTGATATTTTTGATTAATATATACTTATAATTTCGCATAATATATGCATATGCCTACTGTTTGATGATGTGCTGGTTTGACGGATTGGCAAATAATTTTTAACTTCGATTCAATTTGAAACGGAGATCTCTCTTATAGATTGAAGAAATTGGATTTATCGACTAATGCTATGCTCTCAGATATCCTGTTGGGATATAATGTGTAGTGCTAACAATAGAGTTAGCATCCGAAGAGAATGATAATAATTAAGTATTATTAGTTACGCAACCGTGGACCAATTTCACGAATGAGCCGAGTGAATAAATTATTCCAAAGCAATATGTTTTTCTTGATTATCGCACGAAATTTTGAACAAAATTAGTATTATCAACAGTATGATAGCTGATACTTTTGTATGTTAATATTTCAATAAATTCATGACTTGTGATTCTGAGAATGGTTCTCCTGACAACCTTTAAATGTTTGTACCAACATTAGTTTTATTTTTCCTAGAGGCTTCCAATATCAAATTTTCATGTAAATACCGCGCGAGAGTACTCACAAAGGTAAAATGGTACTCATAAAGGGCAAGTGGAACGTGTGGACGAGACATATCTACTGATGATATCAAAACTTTCAATGTAAATATCGGCAGAACGGAGTGTCGAAAGAGGGTACTTTACGAGGTACTTTACCGCTCCGCTCAAAACATGAGATACTGTATTTACCTACTTTATAAGAAAATAAGATATACAAATTGATTATTAATTTGTATGTTTACAAATCATTTCCAACGCAGCTCGTTAAACCTGTTTCAGGAGACGCTCACGATCACACTCAAAGTATGCTCAAAATTGGCACAATGAAATCAAATTGGAATGCGAGTGGCTTGGTCCTAGGCCTAACATTTGATTTTATTGCATCAATTTTGAGCGTACCTTGAGTGGAGCCTGAACGCCCGCAGCCTTAGTGTGAAACAACCTTTACACTTCTAAAAGAAAGGACGAAAAGCTTGACTGGGATGCAATCTTGAACTTGAATCAATTATGTAGCATTTGCTAGTATGGACACAAACAAATAAAAGATCACCTTCGACATTTCTATGTAAATTAGTTATCTATACAACTTTAAAAATAGACCCTGGGAATCGCATTATCCTAGAATAATTTTGTGTACAATTCCACTTGCGATCAGTGGCAGCTTGTGGGAATTTGTTCTGTTCAGGTTCAGACTCGGGTTCATTGTGAATATTCTTGGAACTCGCCAAGAAGGTACTTATTGGAATTTTTTGACCAAACTTGATCGAGACAATCATTATCGTTTATTATTGGAACGATACACGTGGTATAAAAATTAAATGTCAAAAAATTGGCGTTGAAAGAATCCAAAATAAACACTTTTTCCAAAATATTTCATTTGGGAGGTATAGCATTGAAAGTTTGCGGTTCTTTTTAAATTCTTCTTTTTCAACGGTCATAACCTCGGTCATAACACGTAGAAATTTCGAATTAACGGATTTGATTAGGTTTTTGCATATGCCCTTTCTGATCTGCAAACAATTTCCAAGAGTTCCTAAGCCAAGTTGGTGAAAAAATTCGATTTCGACTAAATTTGATATCTTGGTATCTTTGAACATGAAATTATTTTTAGAGTCAAACTACAAAGATTTGGACGGCAATACCTACTTGGCACGACAATGAAAAATCGTTAGATTTCTAATTATTCTGACGCGTAAAACACACAAAATGAAATTTAAGAAAACTTTAAAACACACTTCATCAACCTCGTCGTCAACAGAACACCTAGAATCGAGACTAAAAAAACGTCGCAAAAAACAAAAATAAAATTTTCGCGAGAATTTTCGTTGAAAAAGTGTTGGGATCTTAAGAATGGATTGAGATGAACATTGAAAAGATCACAACACTTTTTTAACAAAATTGTTACTTTTTTGCCATTTTACCAGATTCTGTTGACAAACTCTTTTTAATGAATTTTTTTAATTGTATAGTAGAAGTTTAACATGTTAATAGGTTTAAATGCGTAGGCTAAAGTGTCTTTCTAACCGTAAGGGTAGATAAAGTAAAACAAATCATTGTGCATTCCAATAACATCTGTTATTCTTTTTAAATAATGGGACGTGGAGCACGATATAAAATGAAGTTCAGAACATAATACAATATTATTTCTATGGAAACGACAGGAGAACTTGGAGAAACACATGGAACACCTCAAACGCCATTCGGAACAGTTTAAACTTCGAGTCCAGATGTACAGGTGCCACTTCACATGTCCCCAAGTAAAATACCTTGGACCCCACAGGGAATATCCGTGGACCCCACAAGGACCCAAGCCATCAGCGACATGACCGCACCAAGAAATACCAAACAATTAATGACCTTTCGACAGATATGGTCCTAGTACTCCGGTAATTATTGCCCCCTCCCCCAAAAAAATATCCTACGCCTCTGAATGTTTGCCTCTCTCCCAAAAAAATTTGGTTCCTACACCTCTATACATGGGGTTTGTCTCAGGATTGGCCGGACTCACAAAACCTCTCACCAGCCTCCTAAACAAAGACGCCAGTCCAACAAAAGGGCATACAACCAGCTACGGAAGCTACTTACCACAGCTGCTTCCATACTGCTACAAGCCGGCCCTCGCCAGCCATTTACGCTGCTTAACCATGAATCGTACGCCCCGAGGTACGCCCCCTAAAGGCGAAGCTAGAAACTTGAAAATAATTTCCAGCGATTTCTCTTGACCCCTTTTGTTAACAAAATTTTTTTCCCTAAGCTATGCAATTAACGGTTCCATAGATATGGCCTGTGACCATTATTAACAGGACACCCTGTACATACGTAGAAATTCTTCCGTAATTACTGGTGCCATACGGGTACTTACAGGAGGAGTTGTGTTATGAAAGAGCTGCAAGTGTAAAATGTATTCTGGCAATTGTAGGACTTGTACGGGGTAAGTTACAGGCAGCACCGTAGCCAGATTGATTACCAAGAGCGGGCCTAAAAATCTACAGAGCAAGCGGACCAATTAATAATTTGCCGTATTCCGCACAAATACCACTCGCTGTACAACTTCGTTTTTTTGGTATACGAGGGCAGGTAAAAAAAAGTTCTCCAACCACATTCTTTAAATGGATTCAATTCAAAAAGATTAAAACGGGGTTTTTCAAAAAGTTTGGTGAAATTATTTGTATTTTTTGGGATCATTAGGACCTTTTTTAAACTTTAAAAATGTTTTTTTAATCTTGTTGAATATTTCTGAATCGCTATCTTTTTTTAATATACACGCTGTAGTTCCTTAAAAGAAAATATGGTTAGGTCCGAGAACTTTTGTACTTGACGCCGTATACCTGCTTATTTTGAAAACGGTAGATTATGATGCAATAAGCGCTTGTACTAAACACATGGTATCTAAATATCGAACGAGCGAAAAATGCCATTTTTTGCACATTAACTCAAAAACAAAAAAACTGTATGCCAGTTTGGATTTCAACATCGAGTTTAGCTTAAAAAAATACACCGAAACTGCGAGGTCAAATTTTTTTCCTATTAGATATCTACAGTTTATGAGTTACCCCACACTAACAACCAAATTTGGCCACCCTGTACAGATGTAATTTTACCCAAACTTGAAATTGTCCAATTTTAATAGTTGATATACCTAATTCAGAATTCCAAACAAACACCTTTCTTCATATTTGATCATGATCATGAGCATGCCATATTGCGTCATATTAAGCAATTTTCAAGACCGGGTAGCCCACTCTTGCCCTCCTCTGGCTACGGCGCTGGTTACAGGCCCCGCTACCCAAATTTGAAAGTATGAAAATGCCGGGGACATTTTCCGAGGTATTTTCAAAAAGGTTTGTGAGCAAGAATAGCGAAACTATAAAACAGAGATGAAAATAATCCCCATTATTCATTTGTACAGATTTGGAACTGTAGCAAATGTCACTGAAACTTGAGCAACTTCTCTCCACACGCCCATATATACAATATTACAGTTTACAGTTTGATAAATAATAATCTTCAGTGAAAATTCCCACGCTCGTCTCGTCAGACGAAACGACGCAAAACGTAATAGGAAAAATTATCCCAAGGCCAACCATTTTGGAGAACTTAAAGCTATCACGTTTTTTTTATTTCTTGGAAGACAATTGACACTTGCAGATAAAACGGAGGTAAATCCATTTTTCTACTTTTACTTCACACTGTGCGTAAATAGACTTGGAAAACCCATATAACTGGTAAATGTTAATCAGACACCTTTTACTTATTCACCATCTAAATGTGATTAAAATAAAGAGGTAACTAAGCGTGTCCAAATATTATAATGACGATGTGATTGTAATGATATTCAAATGAGATTGTTGAATGTTGACATAGCAGCGGATGTTCTAGATTAATTAAAATGTCAACAATTTTGTTTATAGACACCTTTAGTTGATTGCATTTATGGCAAATAAGTTTTTGTATAATTCCACAATTTGTGATGTGATTCAAATTAATGTGAATCCGCTCAGACAAATCGAGTATGCGTTGCGAAGTAAAATGCAACAGTCACCTGAGATTTTTGGCAAATGTAACGTAAATTATCAACTTACCCAAACACAAATCGGCTCTTTGGTCATAACCGAAAACGTATCACCGGTAAATTGAGAAAAAGTTCGATCATCCGCAGACGAATGATTCGTATTGTTATTTAAGATATCTTCACTTTCAATAAGGGATGAAACATCCAAATCACTTTTTGGTTTATTCCATTCGGGGTCCTTAACAATATGTGTCGCATAATAAATAGAAAGCGATAACGCGAGTACGCTCGCACAGGTGTAAGTTTTTAAATTTGGTAAAGGTAAACGTTCCAACACAATTATTGGCATTTTGATTTGAAGGCGGGTAGGTATACAATAAGGGAACTTAAAATTTAGGACGACGAGAACGTTCACTTCTGATTGTTTATTGAGCACGCTGCTACACGAATCACCGCTTACGATACTTTGACCAATTACAGAGTTTTAAATTACGTTCCGCTACCGATAAATATTTTGACATATTGACAGTGCGGCTCAGTTCGCTACTGTACTGACGACCTCGCTTCGTTTGAATTGCTCGCACTAACGTAAAGGTAACTTATTACTGTCCGCTGGTGCGATGCGGTAAACTTATGAAGGTAGATCGGCGCACCAAAATCACAACCGACACGCAAAAATCCCTGCACCACGTCAGTGCTTACGGTGGTATTGATCGGATCATACGATTACAAAACTGGTTATGTGGTGTAAGAAGTTCCTTACATAGTGTAATGTGTCGTAATTAATATAGATTTTTACATACAGTTATAGTAAAAACTGTAAGATGTCGCTACATAGTATTAATCGTGAATTGTAATTGTACGCCCTCTACTGTATACCAGTATCAGACATTAAACATGCTCTATAAATTTACTTTTATTGGTTTGGCGTTAAGGATCTTTAGTTTAAGTCTTATTTATCAGATGGCGAAACAACGCATTAATAAGTTGAATTACGTCTTACAGGTTTTTTGTTATATAGCGCTTTCAATTAAAAACGAACCACCTATTGTAATTTTGATAAAAAATTAAAAAAAGCAAAAAATACGTTCATTTATTTTGTATAGATACTTTCACCTCCGCTTCCACAACTTTAAAATTCTCCCATCGAGTGATCACTGGAACTGTAAATAAGTGAATTTGACAAATTTTAGGAGTTAATTTTGATTGTTTGATATCTGTTGAATATTGATAACACTTGTGCAGTTATATCAAGTACTCTGTACTTATTCTCAAAAAATGACGACAGAATAATTGAATAATAATTGACGTTTACTGTTTATTAAGAACTAGGCGCGTAGCCTGTAGCCAGGATTTTTTCTCGGGGGAGTGGAAAGGGGGCTTCCACATTTTAGGACATGCAGGTGCGGAAATTTCCTTTATCAGGCCCGTATCAAGAACCTTTTTGAAGGAAAAGCTCTTAAAAAATAAAACACGGATTATTTCGAGTTTAGAACAAAGAACATTTATAATTTAGTATAGTTATAACCTTATTTACTCTATGGTATATGTGCTGGTTTGTCAATCGCTGATATACGTATATGCGATCTTTCAAGTTTGCTAGTGTTGGTAGTGAAATCCTACCTAATGGTTTTAATGAGGTCAATGAAGAGCCACGGAGGGTTGACCCATTGTCCGGGGATATCGCAAGTATCATGTTCATGCTCAACATTTGTGAGAGCCTGAAGGCATTTTGGGACATTTCGTGTACCACCAGTTAGCAGAATGTTTATATGAAGGCATCACAGATTGAAAGAAACACTGGTGATGTGGATAAACAGAAACAATACTTTAATATCCGCCATCATTTCCACTTGTCGTCGCGCGTTTGCGACCAACGGAAGATGGAGCAACATTTCACGCTTACCGAACTTACCACCAAGTTCAGAATTTTTATCATACGATTGCAAGAACGGCTGCAGCTGTGCCTGCGTAAAAGCCTACGTAAAATCCTCGAACTCCGCAAATGTTGCTCAACTGTCGCTTGCCATAACGTCGCTTAGCTTCAAATTTCCAAGCAAGGAGAAGAAGACGTCGACAATCATGTTCCGATGCGAACGGACGGACAGACGTTCATATGGACAAACGAGTAGACAATAGGGGGATAATTCTTTGGCTTATTTTATGACTCAATCGGTTTTATTGATCAATGTACTTTCATTTTGAACAAGTTAGAGAAGTTGGTATAAAGAAAATCCACAGTTGTTTCGAGAAGATCGCCAATGTCTGCAGAAACTCAATGTTTGGGCAGGTATTATTAGGAAGCACACGATTGGACTGAATGAATTTATTGGTAGAACCATTGAATAATAAATCTGAAGTAGAACTGATAAATCATCTTACCACACAATCTTTGATGAGTGAAGTGGATCACAATATTAGGATACTGCTCAACAAAAAAATGTGTCCTTCAACAAGATGGGATCTCCGCTACATTATACTCTGGCTGTTAGCACTGAACTTCAAAGACTCAAACTCAACACTGTTCGGCAGATTAATGTACACTTTTGTGTATCGTATATTTTGGTGTCTGCAAAGTGCAAGGCGATCACGGTGAATAATACTAAATTATAAACTTTTACTCATTTTAATTGCATTTAAATCATTGAACTCTTTCACCTTGGGTGGATGAAAATAATGACATTGAGATTTCATAAAACAGCTCTTCTAAATAATAAAGACCGATTATTGTAGGCATTACTTATTTGTTTATTTGATGCAAGTAAATACTAAATTCTCCGCATTATTTTGTGCTTTCCTATCGGAAAATTTATCCACGTGCCGACATTTTTATTTGGGATTTTACTGAACGATAACAAACTGAAAGAACATGTTGAAAGTACCTATAAGTAAAATTGACTAAGTATTGATAAGATTGCGTGCGCGTTAGTGATGTGGAACAATCACAGCCAGTAATGTTTGAGGTCAATTCTTTTAACGTATGTAAACAGGTCATTTTCAAGATGAGAACTTTCCGAGACAGACAATTTTAATTTCGATTGTGAACTTATTCATAGATGTCCAAACTGTGACCTGTGTATATGTTTACCTAGTGCAACTTCTAACGAAAGTGTAACAATCCTACGTACCTGTAGGTCCAGTTTTATGGGTGTGCAGTCATGCAATCGCTTGTTTCCATAAATAATAAAGCAGGTATGGTGCAGTTTTTAGGTTGGTGGGTAGGTACGTACCATACCCATAAACTAACTCGCGATTCATCGAAAATAGTATATTAAAGTACAAGTGTCATTTGACGAAGATTGTCGCACGAGGTAGTTTGCCGCATAAGCGGCGAATGCGGCAAAAGCCGAGTGCGACAAGTAGACAAATGACACGTGTGCTTTATACTATTTTTTCTATTTCGACTTTTATTTTAAATAATAAATTATACAAATTTAAATTGCCTTTAGGCGTTGTTAGGTAATTTTAAACTATCATTCAGTGTATGTTGGTAATAGATACAGTTCATTTATTTTCACGTTGGCTAACCTGATTTCTGTATTTTCAAACTTCAAACTTTTAATTATTTGGTCATAATTCCATTTTGCGGCAGTTATCATGAATACGGATGACAAACACGTCTCCTGTACTCCACCAGAGATCCAAGAGATTGCCAATGAAGCGACGTTTAATTTACTGCCTGTAAAATCGAAAGTAAAGTACGAGGAGTACAAAATTGTTGAAAACTGGCTTGCCGAGAAGGGAGTTCAAAAAGTAAGCAAGAATGTACTGCTGGCATATTTTACTACTTACGCTAAGTAAAAATAAAAAAAGTTCTACACTTTGGAGTATATATTATTCAAAATTAATCGGAATTAATACAATCGGTCAAGTTCCTCGTACGTTATTTACACTTTACAGGTTATGTTTAGTTTTGATTTGACGGATACCGTTGACGGCAAAAAAGCGAGGGGTACCAATCCAACAAAATAAAAAAAATAATACGTTTCTATTTATTTCAGCATCATTTCTGTCTAGAAACGCACGCAAACTGGGCCAATCAAGTACGGTTTCGGTATTGTTTCCACATCGAAATAGAAAAAAGTATTTAAAAAACTAGTAAATGGCTTATTATTATTATGAGAAAAACTCAACTTAAGGAATATAATAATAATAATAATAACTTTTTTTCAACGTAAACTAGTGAAAGTGTTAAATTAATTTACACAATCCTTTTCTTTAATTTAGGTTTTTCTCTTAAATTTGATTGTGATATAATAAGTTTTTTATGTTGCTATATTATCGAAAAAAGTGTACTCTTTAAGAATATGTAACGAAAACTAGTAGTTATGATTAAAAATATATGTACCGTTTCACCAGTCAGGACTACGCCACTTACCACACGTTGAAAGTACGTAAAAAGTACGTAGAGTCCTGGATTTTTTGCAATATGTAGCTGTACCTTGAAAGTGCGCCAGACGGCCATCACATTTGGTTATCCTAAGGGAGCCCCCCCCCCCCCGCATTTCCTGGATTGCTGTTTTTGAAAGTAAACGTGGATTACTTTTCCATGCGACAACCAATTGATTTCAGATTTTGCATACGCTTTATTTATGTCTAAGAATATGCGTACCTACCAAATTTGGTTCCAATCAGTTCAGCCGTTCAGTCGAAAATGAGAGTAAAGGGGAGTGCCAGTAGGGGCAGTTGCCCCCTCTGAGATTTTGAGTGAAAAATATGTTAAACATTAAATTTGAAGAAAATGACACATAACCTATTAACAACAATTATGTGAAGCATACTAATAAACAGTTGGATTTTCTTGAAAATTGTTTGTATTATTTTTCAATTCCTATAGTACCTACCTAGGTATATGTAAAGTATAAAATTATGAAAAACTGACTTTGCCTGCCCCCCCCCCCCCCTGGGTAAAAATCCTGCGGGCGCTCCTGGACAGACCGACTGTTTTAATTTTTTGTTTGTGCGTGTGTGACCGTTGAGTGAAAAGTGTGACTCGTTCACACGACCACAGTTGACTTACACAACAATATATTACCTATATTTCATGAATATTCAATAGAATTTGAGAGAATACTTCTCCCATATTCTGTACCATATTAGAAGTCAGGGGACAGTGGTTATTATTCCTGGACTCTTTGTAGAAAAGGTTAAGTGGGATCAATTTCAAAGAATAATTGACAAGCCTTTTGGGTAGATTTTCTTAATCAAGATGAAGTTTCCTTGCGTGCACGTTTTCCTGGACGTGAATTTGCAGTGAATTAGGGTTGCTGGAGGCAAATCATATTTGAGGGGCGAGTATTCCGAGTAGGTAAGCTTTCATGACTGAGTTTCCGTGACGAGTTTCCTTTTGGAAAAATTCGGTGCATGATTTTGTGCGGTAAATGTAAATGGTAAATTGAAATTCATACTATGCACAGTGAAAATTAGCACAATTAGCAGACGTTCACGAAAAAATTCAATTTCAAGCAGCCCTACCAATAATTTTCAACAGTTAATTCAAAATAATTTTTTTTTTCGCATATCGATATCGAAACTGTCAGTAAATAGGAGTACATGGCGTGGATTCGAAATCTCCTGTATTATTAACATATATATAAGGTATATATATGATTATTAATTACAGCGACATTTTGTTGAGTGGGGGTGATTCAATTCATTTTATCTTATTGAACAAATAAAAAGTCTGTTATCTTATCAAGATTAATTTTGAAACATACAGTTTGTCACATCTTCAGTACACGGGAAAAGTTATGAAAACACTCGAGATGGTGTCTCTATACTGTGTTACTA